AGCAAAGTGTCAATATTCAAGTAACAAGACAACAAGCAGATTTGTTGCATAAACGATGTAAATATTATTAACAGAAAGTGCCATATGATATCTCATGTGTGGATGGTTGCTGATCACCTATCTGTTCTGCTGCCTCAGTCTCTCAGCTGAGATTTCGTCAACAGGTACCGCACGCATGTGCCGTGCGGAGGCAGAGCCGTCTGCGCGGCTGCCCTGGGGAAGCAGCTCACCCACCTGCTTCTGCTTCGCTTCAAACTTATCAGCACAATGTATTCTTACCCTACTCCTGCCGACCCCTTGCTCCCACTCTCTGCATTTCTTGTAGTAAGCCTCCCTCAAGTACAATTGTCATTTAAATACTGACATCGAAAATAGCAAAAGGATCACTCATCGACAACCATGTCAGAGCACCTATGCTTGAAATTTCTACCATAAATTGAATGAAAAGTTAATAATAAAAGTGCAAGTGTAGAAAAAAAGTAATAAAATAAAATCCAACCATGAAAAGTACCTGCTACACAGAAATTTGTTTTTAGTCTTTGAAAAAAAAAAAGGACTGTTTTAATAGACATAAACTTTAGGTGGAGTGTGTGTATGTCAGAGAGAGAGAGAGAGAGAGAGAAAGAGAGCGAGAGAGAATTGAAAAATGGAACAATTTTTGGACTTGCAGTCTTCTAAGTAGTACCTAAAATATTTTCCAAGTTTAACTGATTTTAATAAAACATCAGCTCTTGTATATCCCAAAAGAAAGCGACAGTTATATTAATTTTTTTCATTGAAAACACAATTTCCATTGTTTCCTGTGCCATTTACTTATTCTAGTTTATCAATGACTCAAGATAGAAAAGCAGATATGATTAATCAAGTCTTATTGATCATTATTTCACACAAATGTCTGCAAAACACTTTTTCCCAATCATAAATTTATAAATCAATTTAAATTCCTGGTAATTAAATTTATTAGCTCTATAACAGCAAATGTGGTACTTTATATAAAAGCAGTATGTGAAATCTGTACTCAAGAATATATTGATCAAAGGCAAAAACAGCAAACATTTCTATTAAACCAGAGTCTAGGACCAGACTAGAAAGTACTAAACATCACAGCCTGCAATTGTTTCAAGTACACCTAGCAATTCTGCTGATTTGGGACCAGTGAAACTGATTACTTAATGAGGCAATCATTCAAGGCATCCAAACAGACAAAAATAGGGAATCATTAGCATAGCCGTCTTCACCTTGAGATAAAAAATTTTGAAAAATGTTGCAGACACTTAAACTTTTGGAATCTGACCCCATGCTTAAACTAAGGGGGAGAAAATCTAAAAAGTGACAGCCAAAAATTCAGGGGAAAAAAATAATGTATCTATAATTATATTATTCATTTATCTTCTCAGGTAATATTTTCAACTATCTTAGAAATCTCAAGTTTTATACAGATTTTTCTCTACAGATTCTTGGAAGTACTACTTCTTTTCTCCCCTCTGGCCATACTCTTGTGCTATCTAAAAGTAATTAATGAAATCTCTGCGCTCTTGTATTTCTGTCATAAGTACCTGCCTACAAAAAGATTTTCAAAGTCCCTGCCCAACATGAATAAAAACACAAAAAAAGATTTTCTATTTATGGGGGAAAAAAATGGTACTGGAAACTTAGCCACTGAAGCCTTTAATATAACTAAAGAAAAACACACTACGTTTTCACTCAGAAGATACCAGAGACAATTTTAAGAATCTCACTGATGTGGTACAGCCAGGAGAAATAAAAACTATTCTCTATTTTTAAAAAAAAAAATGGTTCCTGAAATAATTCCAAAGAGGCCCTACAAACTGTCTTTTTAAGAGAAGAGAAAAGCAAGTCAACTCACATATACAGCTTCCAAACAGAAGTCTTACCCTCTTCCAGGAAAACAACAATGAGACTTTATTGCCCTGCTATGATTCTTTCCTTTCAGACATGATTAATTAGCAAGTATTACACTTCCCAAAACTCCCACCACACTCTGTGGTCTATCATCCTAGCTGTTGATAGACCCATATGAAAGAGCAAGTAACCACTAGCGGTATAAGACAAGTATCCAAAAAACTCTTCTCTCACATCTTTGCCTCCCAAAATGAAGCAGGCTGCTTTTAACACCTCTCTCTCTCTCTCTCTCTCTCTCTCTCTCTCTCTCTCTCATAAAGAAATCACATTTTTAAAAACATAGTCATTTTCCTAACAATACCTTTTAACATCTGAATAAGGCATGCAACATATTCAGTATTTGCGAATACATGACACATTTAACCTGTTCCCTACCTATATTTTAAGCTGAAGTTCTAAAAGCCTTGTGAGTCCATGTAGTTTATATTGATAACCATCCACATGCACAATTAAGAAACAATAGAGAAAATGTGAGCAAGCATGTTTGGGAGAATGGTTTTTATAGAAAAAAAGTTTATTTTCCAAATAAAAGCTAATATGTCACACATGCAATGGAGATAGGAAATAGAAATAAAGGATTAAAAGAAAAGACAAAAAGAAGAGGGCAACTCTAAAATGTGAATGAATGTAAACTCTGATCTCTGCTTATTGCTCCAAAACACTCTTTCAAGATAATTTTCCCTTTAATGCAATCAATTTCCAAACTGTCCATGTGAACCAAGAAGCCAGCCATAGCTGAACGTGCTACAAATATATATTTTAACAACCAACCATTTATAAAGACTCGGGTTTCCCCTTCAACTTTTCAACTGTTGTGTCCAAAAAACGTCACCCATAGTACAATACTAATAAATAGATCTTGGTTCCAGGAAACATTTTAAAAAATCTATTCTGGTCAAAATATCCTTGCTTTTTTTCTGTTGTATTAAATTTAGGATCAAAAACATCAAAGCAGCTTCCACCTCGGACCTAACTTTTAGAGGATCAATGTGACAAGGCAGTCAGTCCCTGATAGATGTTTCTCTTGATAAACGACTTGTTCAAAAGAGACATTGTAGCTTTCATTTCCTGACCACAACACACTTTTAATTTGCAACAGCGGAGCTGCCAGAGTGTGAGCACTTGCCCACTTTCCAGCCTTTTAGGTTTGGAGCCCTGGTTCCTTTAGGCCAAACATCTGAGACAAAATCTAAAAATAATCCGAGCAATAGAATTACAAAACAGGAGCCACTAATGCCACTTCATACATATACACAAGTGTCTACTTTATAGATACAGATATAAACTTTTTCTCCCCGAATTCTAGTGTAGGATAGCAAGGGTCCTGAGCGGACATCATTTGCACAACAGGCATTTAAACTCTCAGGGAAATAAATTATGTGACTATTAGTTAATAGTAAGCAGAGCCTGGGTGGGGGGCAATTTACACACTTAAATCTGGTGTTAAATGTCATGAATTATATGATTGCCTAACCCAATGTGTTTTTTACATATTATTGCAATGGTTATCATTACGACTACCCAGAAATCACACTTAAGTATCAATAAGGTAAACAGTCAAACCATCCAATTTCTGCTCTCAGCACATTGTCTGAGCTCCGATTTAAAATTTATAAATGTAATATCCTCCTCATCACAGGCAGCGGCCCAATCTGCTCTGAATATATATTACAGCTTTAACATCACAGAGGGAAATCGCCCATCTGGCAATCCCATTCGCTCCAACAGCTCCGGGGGAAAAAAAGCTGTGCTCTCTCCTCCTTAAAACATTTCTCAGGGCAAATTATGTGCTTCTAAAATAAACAGTCTTCTTATTGATCGCTTCAAAGTCAACAAGTTCCAAATGCAAAATTCAATCAAATCCTTCCTATCGGGTAAGAGTGGTGTGTGTTTAGCTCGATAGTCACCAGAGTCCAACCAGAAGTGTATGTCGCACAACGGCTCTTGTAGCCCCTTTCCTTGTATTCACATTTGTGTTATGAGAGAGCAGTAACCACTGCCACATTAGAGACCCCTGGCTATTGCCCCACTGCTATTTGTTTCTTTCATATTCTCCCTTTTCCTTCTTTCTCTCTTTTCAGGGTGAATGCATGGTGGTTGGGTAAATGTACCCAAAAAGAAACAGTGTAGAGTGGACATATCCTTTGGTTATGCAAAATACTTTTAACATCTTTTTGTTGTTGCTGTTCCCTCTTAGTCTTAATTGAATATCACAAAGTGTACACACGGCATGGTCACAAGAGCTATTGAAAACCCCCTCTCACTCCATTTATCTGACCTTTTTTATTTTTTGTAAAGAAAGAGGAAAGAGCGATCTCAAACAAAGTCAATTTCAGTGCCTGATTATTTAATTCTGTCACAGGTTAAAAGTAAAAAGCGCTGACAGGCAGTCAAGTGAATGGCAAGCAAAGAAAAAAGGAAGAAAAAACTACCACTGTTCCTTAAAAGGCATTAAGGACTTTAAGCAATCAAAATATATTTTTATGTTCATGTAAAAAATATCCCTTCATAACTCACTCCCCAAAACACACACACACAGACACACACACACACTCAGAAGAACTGATTACTCCACAAAGTACAATCATTGAGAGAGAGCCCATAGTCCAATTGCATTAATAGATTGAGAGAAAAAAATTCACCCAGTTCTGTGTGTGTACATATATATAGATATAGACATATACTTTCATTAGTAAGCAGTCTTTCCCTACACTCCCGCCCTCTCCCCTTTTCACCCAGCCCCCTCCCCAAAAACCCCACACCGAGTTTAACTAATTTACATACCATTTGACTTCAGTGGTTATACAGTGCATTACTAGTAACATGCAACTTTGGGATTACCGCTAAACCCATAAAAGTGCACTCCAGTAATCTATTACTCAAAACTGAAATATATAAACATGTGATAGCAAAAATAAACAAGCATTTTGACAGATTAAAACATACATTTAAAAAAAAAAGGAATTATATATCATGAGCATCTGCTTCCCAAACAGGGTCTTCAATGGTTGGATCATGCCATTTAATTTGTCTTTCCTATTTAGATGCAAAGGAAGTAAATTCCAAAACTGACATACCATAAACACTGGTGCTACTGATCATTTCTTGCTGGCAGCACAAAAAGCTGAATTGGATTTCTCACAAGCAGGAATTCCAAAGGTTGCTTTTCATTAAAGCCACTTTTCCTCTCAGCTATCAAATGTCACTGCCTTGAAACGTGGGCCCTTTCGTCAGGTATTCATTTAACCTACATGCATATAATTAAGGGGGAAAGCAACATCAACAAAAAGGGGATCTCAGATCACAGGAGAAGAAAGGGAAAAAAAGCACATGACCAGGAATGCAAGTCCATGTCAATTTCACTCACTCCCATTGAAACTAACAAGAGCTCCGGGAGGACGGTAATAGGATCAGTGGATTGTATATACCATTAAATTATACATCTTTCTCTCCCGTCCCCTGCCAACAATACGCCCACCACGCTGTACCCCCTCCAAGATGATGTGCTTACATTTTTCTGCCACCGATCTTCTGACATGATCACGTTCCCCCAGCCACGAGATGGTAATTTAACCTCAACTTTCTGCGTGTGCAACATTCTTATTTACACTTCTTATTTACTTAGAAGTTAGTTCCCGAAGAAAGTCTAGCCCCACCCTATGGCTCCGCTTTCTCCTTCTTATTTTTTTTTTGTATTTATTTTTGAAGTAAAAAGATAGTAATAAGTAAGCACAAGATAGCGGAAAACGAGATTCTTGCCATCGCGAACTCTTAATCCCCCACTATTGTTACAATGATTAAGCAGCAAAAACATGCATCCTAACGTTTCAGGGCTACTTTGTACGGAGAAATTAGACAGCAGGTTGGCGTGCCGAATAGAAGCGAGTGCACATGCAATTAAATGTTTACGACACAACTCGAAGGTCTCCTTCTATTCCAGGTCTTGGATTTATTTATATTCTTTTAAAATAAAACAAACAAAAAAAACAAACACACACACACACAAATTTAAACAGCTGGTAGAAAACTACGAAGCTCCTCTTACCTGAACGCGCGGAGCGAAAAGCCCGATAGGTTAGCGTCGCATCGATCCGCTGTGTTTGCTGATGAATGGGAGCGAGGGTTAAGTGAAGGTGCCTATGATTTGAAATCATTCCAAGTTTTTGAAGGGAAGACGGACTGCAGCCTCTGCCATGTTGGAATTTCAAACCCAAAACAGCTGCTTGCGAGGAGCCAGCATGCCAGAGGCTGGGCGCAGGCGCAAAGCGCCGCCGAGCCAAATTCAAATCACTTTCACACTAAGAGCCAAAGATCAGTTTTCAAAGGCGAGAGGGAGAGGGACGCGGCGGCGGCGGAGAGGGAGAGGGGACGGGAGGCAGTGGCGAGAGGCGGGCAGCGGGAGGACCGGAGGGAGCGGGAGAGGCGCCCGGAGCCCGCGGAGCTGGCGGGGGAGAGAGGGAAGCGGGCGGGCGGGCGGGCGACCAGAGACGCGCCAGAGATTCATGGGCAGGGAGGGCGCAATGGCCGCGCGCGCCGGCCGGCCGGCCGCTCGGGTCATGTTACACGGCCCGGGCCTCGGCGGCCGCCAGCTCGCCGCCGCGCGCTCACGCGACCGGAGCGGCCCGAGGTCATGATGACGCGCGCGGGGACCCGAGCGCCCGCGCCCCGCCGCTTCTCCGGCGCCCAGCCGGGGAAAGGGGAGCAGCGCGACGGGAAGGGGCCTCTCCTTCCCACGCGTGATCAGCCGGCCCTCGCGCTCCCCGCCGCCGTGGAGGGCCCGGGGCAGGGCTGCGCGGCTCTGCGGCCCGCGGGTCCCGCCCTGTCCGCTCCCGGCCCCTCTCAGCACAGCTGCGGCCCGTCCGCCCTTCCCCACCCCCCCGGGCTCCGCGCACTGGACAAGAGCTGGCCCTGCGAGCCGGGACCTCACCCGCACTCTCCCCTGGGCCCCTGCACCAGCCAGGACATGACTCTCTGCCAAGGAGAGGCAACTTTGGGGGGGAACCGAATGAACCCTGTTGTCCTCCTCCGCCTCCCTGTGAATAAATAAAATCCTAAGTGTCTAGGTGTGCGGTCCATTCTCCAGCTCCCTGGCTCCCCTCCCTACCTCCCCCAGGCGGCTCGAGCGGGGGAACACAGCGCCTGGGGGCCCGGTGCCGGCTGCTAGTGCGCAGGCATGGACAGGAGGCTTCGGCTTTCCCAGCCCCCTTCTAGGGAGCAAGCGGGGGACCCAGGAGTGGAAAGAGAGTAGGGGCTTTGTAGTGCTGGGAGCTGAGGAAGAATGAAATGTGCAGTTGAGTGTGTTGCTCGCATCCCAGGGAGCAGTGCAGTGCTGATTGTGTGTTGCTGAGATAGCCTTTTGTTCGGAACATAAGGTTTAAGAAACACACACGTTTCCTGGGCTCTCTTGTTAGATGTAAATGTGCTGCATCCAGATGCTTACTGTGTAGTGCAAGCTCAGTTGGCTTCCTAATCACCCCGCCCCACCCCCAAACAGCCAGGATCATTTGAATGGGAACCTCATTCAGACTTCTAGGCTTCCAGTGTTGCCTTCAACCGATTTCATTCTAGACTAGCCAACCATCCAACTGAGATAATAAAGCAAACAATAACATTTGATCATGATGTCTATGAGATAATGTGCCCGGCAAAGTTCTTTAGGAATTGTAATGAGAAAGAGAGTGAGTGGGGTAATAATTTCTCTTTTCATTAAATATGACTTTAGTAGACAAATGGTCAGTTTATACTTTGGCCCAGTGGACATCCAGTCCTCTGTATTTTAACGAAGCTAAGAATGAAAGAGGCAAATTATATATTCGATCAGAGGCCCATCAAGCTGAAAATATTACCTTTGAAGGCTGGGATAGAAAATATACTTGTTTAGGACTGACTCTCCTCATATTTCCCCTGCTTTTCTGCTATAGATTTAATAGACTAAATTGTGTCTCTCCGTGACGAAATGAAGTGTTTTAAAAATCCAGATATGTACTTGGAAATTTCCTTCTCCTTTTGTGATTTTCTTACCTTTTTTTAGCCACTGAATGGATGCATTTAGCTATCAAGATGAGAAAGAAAAATCATTTTAGTTAACTCTAGACAGATGACAGAATTTAAAAGACAAAAGAAAAGTGATTCGAGATCTTACAAAATATTTCTAGGGAATGAGATTTCTCTTTGGAATGGATTTGACCTTTCTGTGCATTTTTTTTAAAAACCAGGCTTCAAAATAAAACAGAAGAACTTTATTCTGATGTAACAGAGAACACTGAAGCCCCTTTAGTTATATTTTACAAGATAGCTTTGAAAATGATATTAGGAATAGCTACGCATTGGGTTTCACCACAAAGAAATAAGTGTAGAAAAATGTCTATGGGTCACTGTTGGATTGAGTACAGATGAATTAAAAAGAAACAACAACCGTGAAGAGCTTATAATTTCAATTATTGCCCATTTGGAGAATGACGACAAGAGGTCCTCTGGACACAGCAGATGCTCTGTGCAATCCAAGCAAAACTGTGCTGTCCTTGTTCGTTAAAAAAATGTTCAAAGCACATCAACCTTTAACACTACATTCTAGTGTTGAATTTACAGTTCTTCATGTAAACCAAAATACTGAATAAAATATATATAATGGAATATCCACTGAATAGAAAACAATATATTTTGATGATTGAATTAAAGCAATTCATTTTCAATATCTAAAACAAAATAAGTCGTACTTTTAAAAGGGGCCAGGAAGAAGTGTGGTTAGCAGGAGTTTATTAGTAAAGTAGTACTTTGTTCAATTCTCATACGTTCATTTGAAGTACAGATTATAAAATCTATCATTCAACATACAAATGAATATAGTTAACTTTGTAATCAAAGAAAGGGAGACGATTTAAAAGAGTACCGTATGGCCCTGGAGGAATGTGACTCAGTGATTGAGCATTGACCAATGAACCAGGAGGTCACTGTTCCATTCCCAGTCAGGGCACATGCCCAGGTTTCAGACTCCATCCCCAGTAGGGGGCATGCAAGAGGCAGCCAATCAATGATTCTCCCTTGTCATTGGTGTTTCTATATCTCTTTCCCTGTCCCTTCCTCTCTCAAATCAATACAAATAAATATATTTTTTAAAAAGAGTACTGCATGTATTTATGCAGAGTTTAAAATTGTCCAAAATTGCATGTACTCCTGGGAAATAAGCCTTACATAATAGAATATACTTTATGAGCTTTGTATGACAATAAGATTCAAAGAGGAGTTTGTCATCCCACTATTTCTAGCTTTTATTTTTTAGGTATATATAAACTTTGTTTTTATCCATTTACTTTTTCCCAAAAGAAGATGAAACTTAATTTTGTTTTTTGAAAAGCTTCATTTTCTATTGAAAAATTAGCACATTTTTAAGTTTTTTTTGTCTTAATAAAACTATCTATAATAATAAAAGCATAATATGCTAATTAGACCAGATGACCTAACGGGACGAAGATGAGCTTCGAGGGAAGCCTGGGTCCCAGGTGCCAGAGGGAAGCCAGTGCCGGCAGCCGGGGGAAGGAAGGTCTACTCTTGCACGAATTTCGTGCATCGGGCTTCTAGTCTTTAGTAAAGTAGTATGATTACATACCATTTTAACAGTCACCATATCTTATCTACACTTAATTTTTAAACTTTTACTTAAAAACGTTTTTGGTTGTAACTAATAATCTATCCCTCAGTATATTTTATGAAACTTGTGGTGATAAGAGAATAAGAAATTTAGTCTTTAAAGGAAGTTGATTGATTAGTCAAGGAAAGAGTTAATTCAGTGGAAAAATGGACTAATTTTGTTCCTACTGCATTAATCACATGCTTACTTCTGTTTGAATATTTTTAGTGTAGGGAGAACAAATATAATGAATGTCTAATGTACATTATTTCTGACTTTTTTTAAAAAGAAAATCAAAAGAAAAATAAGCATAACTATTCTTATTTTCCTTCAGGAGGAGTGTGTGTGTGTGTGTGTGTGTGTGTGCGTGTGTGTCAAGCTAATTCAGGGAGGAAGAATTCTACTTTTTCCTGTTCTTATTCTACACATAGAAGCAACAACAACCAAAGTGAAGGGTAAGGAAATGAGCAAGGTGATACTGAATGTGATTTTGCAGATGACCATATGCTTGTCTGCATTGAACTAAGGATAATGTGACCCAGGTTAGACAAGGAGATGTGCTTTGCCTATGTCAAGGGAGAAGAAAAGGAAAGCAAGCAAAACATTCAGGTAGACAGAGCATAGAACAGAGATGAGGGTGACAAGATGCTTTAAGAAAAAAAAACACGTTGTAGGGAGCGTTAATGCTTGGTTTTTAATGAAATGCTAAACACAAGATAGTTTGCTTTTTAAATACCGCTTTATAGTTTCAAACTCAAATATTAACTATTTTGATAAGGATTAAACTTTTAATATCTTCTTCCAAACAACACTGTTTCAAAAAAGTCTTCTAGGATTTAGTAGCTATTTATTAGACCTAGATATTTTTGTCATATTGCTCACAAAATCTAAAGTGGGTCTTATATAGTGCAAATTACTGACGCAATATATTTTTTAAAATGTTTGCATACAATTGCAATTTAGGACTTTTCATTTGCACTTCAATTCAACTAAGAGGACTAAGAATTCCTTATGTCTTCCCCTCCCCCCATCCATACAAACAAACAAAAAAACAGCTGACATCTTGACCTCATTTTAGTAAAATGACTCAATTTGTTAGAATTACACTTGAATACAGATACTGTCAAATGGTATTAGGGTGGTCCATATATCTCCTTCAAGATCTAACCCTACAGTGGAGAGGCAAGTGCAAAAGCCTGTGCTGGGTTCACTGGAGATATTTTTTGGTAGCGCAGAAGTGTTTTCTTCTGATAACGTGAGGACTATGTTTTTTTCATTCATTCTTTAAATGGTGGTAGCGTTCATATATTTGCTGCAACCTCTGCCTGATTTTGCATGATTCTCAATTTCATACTGAACTTACTATAGTTAAAAGTATTGCCCCCCCCCAAAAAAAAAAAATTGCAGAGGATTTAAGAAAATAAACATTAACCACTCTGGAATGAGACGAGATAAATATAGTTCAAAGTGAATGTTATAAGTGACTCATAAAGAGGTTCTGGCCAGAAGAAGATATGGATTCTTTTATGAAGAAGAACAGATTTCCTGGCCTTGGTAGTCTTCATCTTTATGCTTCAGTACAACAAACCACTTGAAGTTTGCATACTCCATGCTGTTTGTCCCCTGACTGCCCTGCTTTTCATTGTGCCCTCTGGTTTCCCCTCTGGTTTCCCCTCCGCTTCTGTGGCCTAACTCCCATAGGTACTTGCCTCTTCCAAGAAGACCTCCAGGCTTTCTA